CTTCTCAGATTATTTGCTCAGCATACAGGTTGAATAAGTATGGTGAAAGAATACAACCTTGTCGCACAACTTTTTTAATTTTAAAACATTGACTGTTCCCGTGTTCTGTTTGAACAACTGCCTCTTGATCCAGGTACAGATTCCGCATGAGTTCAATTAAGTGTTCAGGAATACTCATACTTCTCAATGTTGTCCATAGCTTGTCATGACCCACACAATCAAAAGTCTTTGTGTAGTCAATAAAGCACAGGTAAAACATCTTTCTGATATTCTCTGCTTTCAGCCAAGATCCATTGGACATCAGCAATGATATCCCTTGTTCCACAGCCTCTTCTGAATCCAGCTTGAACCTCCTGAAGTTCTCTGTCAATGTCTGATTGTAGCCATTTTTGTATTACCTTTAGCAAAACTTTGCTTGCATGGGATAGCAAAGAGATTGTCTGACGATTTCCGCATTCCATTAGGTCACCTCTCTTTGGAATGGGCACAAATATATGGATCTCTTCCAATCAGTCGGCCAGATAGTTGTCTTCCAAATCTCTACCAAACATTAGGAGGAAATAATAAAAAGAGAGCTGCATTCTCTTAAAAAAAAATCCTTTGAGACAATGGACACATATGTGGTTGGATGTTACCTGAAGGGATGTTAAGCCATATATATCTGTATATATAATTTTTCACACATACAATTCAGTGACATTAATTACATTAATTACATTAATTACATCTGGTGCATCCATTCCCACTAGTACCACAAAAGTTTCCATAGTTTTCTACCCCCCTTAGCAGTAGCTCAGAGCCATCCTTTATGCCTTCTCTCTGCTCACCCCTGGTAACCACAAGTCAGTTTTGGTCCATTTGTAAGTTTCATGGGCATTGATGACAGATGGGAGTACACAGTTTGAGTGTGACAGGAGTAATCAACCTGGTCCTTGGCTGTACTGAGACATTATCTCACTTTTTTCTATCTTGTTCCCTTTTCTATTTTTTTTTTCTTTCTAAGTTTTTTCTTCTTGTTTTCCCCTCTTGCTTGTCTCTTCTTCCTCTACTCATTCCCTTTTTACGTTTCTTCTTCCTCCAAATTATCTTTTTTCTGTAACCAGTTAAATACGAAGCTGCATTGATTATTTATAGGATTATTGAAAAATCATCTGCTCCTGCTTTTAATTTTAATAATGTTGTGCATGGGTTAATTTTTGAGACTGCTTGCCTTAAACAACAAACAAAGGGAGTCTAAAGTAGCTTTTAACTTTTGTTTCACTCACTTGCTTGTTCTGTTGAAAAAGTTTGCCTCAAACAATAGAAAAAGTCTATGATCATGGTCATTGGTAAATCCTGATACTAAATTATCTTCTGTCTCTAGTAGTGTTTTCTACAGGGAGCAAGGATACATGTGTAAAAGGGCCTTTTCTTACCTGTTTCTTATAAGAGCAGGGTACATCTTTACCAAGAAGTCAGAGATGTTCCTGTTGGTAAGGTCTTGGAGAATTTCAGTGCTGTGCTGTGTTCTCTGAGGCAATGAGACCCATGTTAATTAATTCAAAAGCTGAGGCCTTAAAGTTTGAGAAACAATTCTTGCAAATTATTTATCCTTCCAATTGCTAGTGAAACAATGAATAAAGCACTGGCATCTCTCTGGTGATGCAGCAGATGTCTCGGGTGGCTCTGTTTACCAATCCACTTACAACAATTGGTGGCTCAAATTTCAAAATAAATCTCTAATCCATTTACTTTGCTCCATTTCAGCTACTACTACCTTATGCCCAGCCACCACCATCTCTATTTTACCAGGATCTCTATAGAAACTCACAAACTGGTTTCCTGGTTCTACTCTTGGCCCACCACAATCCATTCTCCATCAATCAACCAGATTGAGCTTTGAAAATGTATATCAGAACACCCCAATAACCTTACTTAAAGCATGCCAATAAACCTTAGGATCAAGCCGAAACTCATTACAAGAGTCTATTGGGCCCCAAGGAGCTCTGGTGGTACAGTGGTTAAGTGCATGGCTGATAACTGAAAGGTTGGCCATTTGAACGCACTAAACACAGGAGAATGATGTTGCACTCTGCTCTGGTATTGATTACCACCTTGGAAACCCTGTGGCACTGTTCTACTCTGTCCAGTAGGGTTGTTATACCTTGGAATCTACTCAGTGACAATGAGTATGGGGATTAGGCCACCAGGATCTGGCCCTGCCTCCTTGTCTGAGCTCACCTGATGCCACTCTCCCTTCACACTCTATTCTCTCCTCTTCCTCTCCCAGCTTCCCCTCACCCCCCAACTTCCCCTCACTCTTTCCCTCTTTTCACACCCACCCTTACCTCATCCTCTTCTCCCTCTCTTGTCCTCACCCCATCCTCCTCTATTTCTCATATAGACACCTTTCATTCTGCATTGGCCTTGAACTTGTAGCTCTGAGTGGAATATTCCACCAGCAGAGTCTCAGGGCAAGCTCCTTATCATTCAAGTGTCAGTCCGCATTTTACTCCTCAGAGAGGTATTTTAAGTCACTTGCTATTAGAACTCCATACCATTTTATTATGTTCGTAGAACATCTCCATGTGAAATTTTTTTTCAAAAGAATCTGTTAACTTGTTTTTATATGTGACTCCAGAACAACATAAACTCTGTGAGGGCAGAGGGTTTCCCTGACTTGTTGATTCTTGTGTCCCCAGAACCCAGAATAATAGCTGGTATACAACTGAGACACAATAGATGTATTTGTGACACAGATTTTAGAATTCCAGCCATGCTTTACAATTTACAAATCAATTTAAAAACACACATCCAGGACTAACAGCTGCCCTTGACTTGATTCTGATTTGTGATGTCCTGATGTGCACAGAGAACTGTGCCTCACAGGGTTTTCAATGGCTGAATTTTCATTTTCAAGTAGATCTTCCTCCAACAAAGCACTGGGTGGATTTGAACCTCCAACCTTTAGGTTAGCAACTAGGTATGTTGACCATTTTCATCACCCAATGTTGTTTGTTGCCATTAACCATTGAGTTAATTACAACTCATGGTGACCCCTGTATGCAGAGTAGAAATGCTTTTTACAGTGTTTTCAAGGCTGTCACCTTTTGGAAGCAGATTGCTAGACCTATCTTCCAAGATGCCTTTGGGTGGGTTAGAATTGTTAAGTTTTCCACTAGTGCTTAACCATTATACCACCAGGACTCTTCATCTGCTGCTATCGCTGAGTGCCATGGAGGCTTACTGCTGTAAGCTAGTTCAGTCCAAAGACTAGAGAATTCAAAAGTCCATGAGTTTGGCCACCAGATGGCAATATTACTTTAAATTTAGAATCACACATCGCTGTAACCAAATTGTCAGTCATTGACAGCGGGCAAAAGCACTCACCCTGGCACGGTTGCCAACCAGAAGAAGCTAGGAGAATTTTTGGTGTCTCCGCACTACCGCCAGCATACACCATCCTTATAATTTTAATACCTTTCCCTTGTTCTCATTTTATTCCTGCTCTTCTGTGCACTTTGTGTCTCTCATACTAGGAGGAGAACCAACATGTGTTGCATGTCTACTATGTGCCCTGCATTGTATTAAATGATCGAAATGCATTATCTTATTTAATCCTAATATCCTGATGAAAAAGGAATTGTTACTCTAATTTAGAGACTGAGAAACTGAAGCGCAGAAAGGTTAACTAACTTGCACTGGTTACAAGAGCTAAGTGGTAGACCTGCCACTTAGGTATTATTCATCTCCATAACTCTTACTCTTTTCTCCCTGCTCTTCCAGCTGACCATAGCAGCCAGGAAAATGCCAAGTTCCCCTGGTGGAATTCAGGTTGGAACAGTTGCTGATGAAGGGGACAGTTTATGATAAAACATCTTTTTTTTTTTCTAGCTATGTTGCCAAATAAAATACTTCTATAGCTTTATCCCCATGTATACAACTCGGAGTTCTGGTGTGGCACTGTGGGTTAATGCACTGGACTGTAAAGTCAGTTTGAACCACAAGGTTGGCTGTTTAAGCTCATCAGCCACTCCTCAGAAACCCTATACATGGCCGCTAAGAGTTGGAACCTACTCGAAGGCATGTAACAACAATAAAATATTTTAACTCAGGGATGGAACATTTCCAATTCAGACCTTACTACAATTTGAAGAATATTAGAGCAGGAACTTATAGAAAATGGCATCCACCACTTTCACTTTCCGAAATTAGGACAATTTGTTGTGTCAGTACCAAGCCCAGACCCTTGGACTTATTTCAGGCTGAGTGTGTGCTTGGCTGAGGGAGATTGTTGTTATGTACCGTAGAGTCAGTTCCGACTCATAGTGACCCTGTGTGTGGTTTCTGAGGAGCAACTGATGAGTTTGAACCATCAACCTTTCAGTTAGAAGTTCAGTGCTTACAATCCCAGTCCTACAGCACCAGTGAGTGGGATTTTTTGTTGTTAAGTGCTGTTGAATTGGTTCCAACTCATACAACTCAGTATAGGGTTTCCAAGGAGCAGTTGGTGGGTTTGAACTGCTGACCTTGTAGTTAGCAACCCAGCGCTGATCCTACAGTGCTATAAATGTGTGTGAAGCAGAGCAGCTCCTGTGTAGATACAACATTCTATTTTGCTCCCAAAAGAGGCATGGCTAATAGTGAGGAAATGCCGGAGTTAGTCAAAATTACAGGAACTGCTCTGGCTTTTTCCATGACTCTTGGCTGTGGTGGCTTACTAGTTTTCCTCCAGAAATCTAGGGCGGCTGCTACTGTGTGCCATTGAGTCAATTCTGACTCATAGAGACCCTGGGTAGGGTTTCCGAGGCTATAAATCTTTATGGGAGCAAAAAGCCTCATCTACCTCCTGCTGGGTGGCTGGTGGATTCAAACTGCTAACCTTTCAGTTAGCAACCCAATGTGTAACCCACTACACTGCCAGGGCTTCTTGAACCAAGGAAGCACTACTGTAAATCAGTTTCTTCTTGGATTGAGTAGACAGTGTTTGATGGAAAAATGAAGCTTTTGGTCAGTAACTTCCTCCAAGGGGTAGCAGCAGGGCCCTCTGGAAGCTCTTGTGCAAAGACTTTAGGAAACCAGCATTCGTTCCTCACTCAACTACTAATTTAAAATGTAAGTTGGCTAGAGACTCAGGAGGTATTGTTTATTTCTCCAAACCCCTGATGTTTCAGGCAGATTCCGGACTCCCTTTTGTTTCCCAGGAGTCCCTGGATGGTGCAGACAATTGAACATCCAGTTACTGGTCAAAAGCTTGGAGGTCCCTCGGAAGACAGGTCTGGTGATCTGGTTCTGAAAGTCACTGCCTTGAAAACTCTGTGGAATGCAGCTGTACTCGTCATACATGGGGTCACCAAGAGTTGGAGTGGACTCAACAAGTGACTAACAACAGCAACAATAGATTCCTGAAACAGGGTTGGAGGTACCTGAGGGGGTGGGAGACCCCCAGTCCCCTCTGGGCACTCGGGGAGTATGGTCAGCTTCTCCCTGGTGCTGCACTCGCAGGAAGGTGAGGGGTTGTCTGCTGTCCACTTCTGTTTCTGGAACAGATGGAAGATGTTTAGGGACACAGAGGGAGTCTTCCAGGGGGTTGAGTTGCCACAAAGATATTCCCTAATGGAAGAAAATATTTCACAATCAGTCCCCAAAGAGACCAAAATCCACAGAAATGAGAAATAGTGTTTAACTCCCTCCTTCTCATCCAACTGTGTTTTCTTCTTATACTTTTGGAGGTTCATTTCTGCTCTAGTTACATTAGGACTAGGACGTTACAGACTGACCAGGTGAGCCTGGGGGATAATGAGCTCATTTGTGAACTCTTTTTTCTCTCTCTCTTTTTTGATCTTCTAGAGGTTCCAGCTATGGAGACACAGAGCAAATAAAAGAGAGGTCTGAAATTAGTCTATTTTGGTCTTTGTCAATAGGTCTGAAAAAGATTGGATGAGAAAAGAAGTTAAAGCTATATTGGATTTTTAGGATCCCCTGTAGATTATAACTGCCCTCTTTAATTCCCTTCTCTACACTTGTAACAACAATCGACAGTTGGATATAGACAGAATTAATGCCATTCTTGGCCCAATTATGGAGGCCTGGTGTGGTGCTAGACTGCAAGGTTTGGTTTGACCTGCAAGGTCGGTGGTTAGACAGGGTCGCTATGAGTCGGAACTGACTAGACAACACTTAACACCAACACAACAGGTCCAATTATACAATAGCACATCTCCCCAACTCCCTGCCTGTTTGGACTCATTTGAAATAAGTTATGGGAAAGCATATGTTAGCTCAATATAGAAGTTTCTCTACGGAGAATATAGAAAGATGTTGTTGTTGTTAAGTGCTGACAAGTCGGTTCTGACTCACAGCAACCCTGTATAGGGTTTCTGAGGAGCGGCTGGTGGGTTTGAACTGCAATCTTGGGGTTCACACCAACCTTGCAGTACAGTGCTTATCCTACAGCACCACACCAGGCCTCCATAGAAAGACAGAGCTGTCCAATCATGCAGGGCTTTCTAGGGAGTGAACTTTGCACCATGACTGTGGAATAAGAAACTGAGAAAGAGCTGCTATAGATGTGGAAGTGATTCGTGTAATACAAAGCAGGGTTGTGCTGGGGCCTCTCCAACCTAGCAGGGTCTCTGGGATCCCAGGGGGCAGGAATGATCAGGAACTTATGGCAGCCGCCTTTCCTTCAGGCAGCAGTTGCCAAAGCTTGACTTGTTCAGGAGAACTTCTGCAAGGACCGCGAGCCAATCGCTGCCTGGCTCATCCATGCTAGACAGAATGAGAAACGCTTACTCAATGGATATGTGACTAAGAGTGAACATAAGTAGTCAATATGCAACTCAACAAATGTTTATCGAAGGACTGCCATGTCTCAGGCATGAGATACAGCACTGGGACTGTAGAAACAATACAGAATGGGAATGAGGTCGCTATCCAGAGCACACCCAGTGCTTCAATGGCGTAGCCTGTCTTTGCCTCTTAAAGCCGTAGCTTCATTCCACTCCCCTGCATTTTACTTTCGTTTCTCAACCTCAAACAATTCTGGCTGTCCACTGAGGATCACCTTCCCAGGGTGTGGAAAGCATATTAACTTCCTTTCTGAGGACCTCTACCTTTCTGGTGAATGTCCTGAGGAGTGGGAGTCCTGGAGTCCAAAAGGTGCTGATGATCTCTGGGGACAAGTCTATGTACCTGAAGAAGGTGTACTGCTGCCAATATATCCAGGGGTGAAGGGTCAAAGCGGGGTATTCACCAAAAGGAGGGACAATGATAGATAGCATCAGAGCCAATGACATGAAAGTTGCTGGGAGAACAATCTGTAGGAAATCTTACTCCATTGAGTAAGTGTTTCTCATTCTGTCTAGCATGGATGAGCCAGGCAGCAATTGGCTCACAGTCCTCGCAGAAGTTCTCCTGAACAAGTCAAGTAGATGTGGGAACATGGGCTGTGATGTGTGATAGTAAACACACAAAAAAACACACAAACACACACACAGTCTTTTAAACACTTATCCTGCAGCCTCATAACTAGGCTCAGGTGAAGCAAATCTGTCTTTTGGGGAATGTTATAGGCAGGGGAAATTGTGTGAACAAAATAGTATAGGCAGGCAGTATAGAGGAAAATGCAATGCTCTGGTAACATGAAGACTCTGAAGGTAGGCCAATGTTCAGGCAGTGGTTAAAAGGCAGTTCAAAGAACAAGGACATTATTCACTGCTGTCTGGACTACAGTTCTTGCTTTCTCTCTTTTTAATTCTGAATGAAAAACATCAAAAGAAAAAATGGACCGTGACCTTAAAAATGAATGAAACATGACTTTAGCTTTCGCTGTAAAAATCAAAGAAACAATATTAGCATATTCACTAGTACTCATTTTCTTAATTTGGTGAAGCCTAGTACGTACATTCTTGGTAAGAATGTAAGATCAGCACTGGACTTTGAACCACAAGATCAGCAGTTCAAAACAACCAGCTGCTCCTCAGAAACCCCATACAGGGTTACTTTGAGTTGGAACCCACTTGATGGCACTGAACAGCAACAAAAATACATAGAAAGAAGCTTTGTCCCAGAGCGGCTAGAGGAAGAGAAGACCAGCAGTAAAAATCCAAAACAAAAATGGCAATCTGACTGGCTACTACTACAAGAACAAGTAAGCTGTTCTCTGGGGAGCCATCAAGGCAAGCAATCATGTCCCTTCAGGACAAACCCCTCTCCATGACTGAAACTCAAAGGGAACAAACAAATGAACAGGCATGTAAGCTTGTTAGGGACCACATTGATTTACTGGTGAGTGGAAGTGGGGGAAAGGCAGCAATGAAGATGTGGGCTGAGTTCAACCATGTTCCATAGACTCTTGTTGACCTTGAGATGAGAGAGAGAAGAGGAAGAGCTGGTTGGTCCGAAGTGTGGTGAGACCTGGGGATTCATGAGCCCATGGACAAGGTCCTAACCACAGAGGGTTAGAGATGAGAGTGAAACGTCCAGCTGATATGAAGTGAGGGGAGATGCACAAGAACGCCCAAACTTGCAGATAGTACCCATTTGACCTAGCTTTGATGGTGTGATGATCAGAACTTGACTAGAGGAAGATAAAGAAATTTGATAAAGGAAACAAGTGTAAATTGCAACAATTTGATGAACTTGACCTATACTTATGGATGTAGTAGCTCAAAATACCAACCAACAGGGAAGGAGTCTTCACATCAAGGATCAAACCTATCCCCTCTGTACAGAGGATACAGAGTTGATATGGACAAGCAACTTAGACACTGGTTACCTAAAATAGGGGAGGGGGTGCAAATTATAAAGGCATGAAGTGACTGGCTTATAAGTTTTCAAGAGGGAGTTTAGTTTCAAAGTGTGTAGGGGAAGGTAGAATCCCCACTGAATAGTTTTCCTCATGTCTAGACGGTTGTGGAGATGGGGATAAGATTCATTTGATTCAATAATGAGTAATTGTTATCATACCTATTTGCAATAGTCAAAACTGTAAAGGTAGAAGTTTTCTAACAAACAGGGGGAGTAGTTAATCTTACATTCCAGGAAGAGAGGACCCTAGGACTATCAAGAGAGAAGAGCATGAGTGGAACATGGGACCCTAGCCAGAGAAGCAAGGACACCAGAGATGGAGGCAGAGGTGATAGCATGGAGAGATTGAGCAGTTGAGGACTCTAGACTCATGGAAAGAGAAACACTGTGTGCTGGTGGCCAGGAGACTAGCTTTCCAAATGTGCCCTTTGGTTGTTTAAATGATTACATATTCCTGCATGCTTTTTTGTTTTTGTTTCTTTTGTACATCAAAAAGAAGTGGGGGGGGGGAAGAGTTTTGGGGGAAGGAGGAAATGATTCATGCACTAGAGGGTAGACACACATTGACATGGGTGATGGGGCAGACAATATACAACTGGAGGGAGGTTGGCAGACGAAAGATGGGGTGGCAGGAGACCCAGGGAGGAATGCAGTGGTTAAAGTGAATAGAGGTAAATGCTGTCAACTGTTGGTGCATGGAGGGGATTGAAACCATGTAAAGAAGCAAAGTATATGATTTGTTTAATGTAAAACTGATGATCTGCTCTATAAACCTTCATTAAATTCACAATAAAAAGTTTTTTAAAAACGCTTTGTGTTACTAAGAGGCAAAATAAAGTCTTGGCAAGGACGAAACAAAGTGTAGGAGAAAGATGAGGATGGGCAGGTCAGGAGTGCACATGACAGACACAGGCAAGGAGCACAACCAAGACCCATAGGAAGACCTGAGCCAGAAAGGCTTTGTGGCTTCGTGTGGTATGGTGGAACCTCTTGACCAGCAGGGCCTGCAAGTGCTGGAGCATAAGCCACACTCCTGTGTTGAGTGAGGCACTGTGGGCCTCTGGCTCTGGGCGAGGCTGGTCTTCCAGGCAAGGCACTGGCTCCGTGGAGCAGCTGTCAGAGTCCTGAGGAATTGGTCTGGGACCCAAACAGGGGTGTTGGAGACTGATGTTTCCTCCTTCCTGCTGAGTACCACCTGTTTTGGGAGATTGAATTAGTAATTTAGGAAAATACTCCCCATTAACAGCCTGGATATCATATGGTGTTTCTTCTAACATTGGTCCTCCCTTCATTGAAATCTGCAATAAAACACCCATTCAGGTACATTAATTCTCTTAAAGATAGATTTAAGTACTTTAGCACAAAAAAAGGTGTTAAACATATAACTAAGTAAAAATATGAACAAGATCATATGTTAGAAAATAAATATCATATGCAAAGAAAAATGGTATTTTAGGTACATACATATGTAACTGCAAAGCGCTGAAAGAACGCACACAACTGTTACTAGAGTTGGGGAGGTAAAGCTGCGTAAAGTAAGTATGGGGTAGGAAGTAAAACTTTAGCCTTTTTGTATTATTTCAAAATTTTTACAAAAATTATATTGACACAATGCCTGTTAACTTTTAAAAAATTCAAATTCAAAGTTAACTTGGTTCTTTCTGAGCTTTTAGAGATGTCTGAAAAATGACAGAAAGAGTTGTGAACTTAGCTCAGAGACCTGGCCTTGTGGATGCTCTTTATTATTGGAAGCATACAGTTGGGGGAGTGAGTTAACCCATCTGAATCTGATTTTTTCATCCCTAAGATGAAAATGAGGCCATCTGACAGGCGTGTTATGAAGATTAAATGAGATAACATCTGTGAACATGCTTCATAAACCACTGTAAGTTGTTGGTTATGTTGTGGCTATGATTTAACCCCACCAATTAATGTTCATGTGGAGAACATCTATCACCAAGCAAAGTGGGATGGCCTAGAGAATGCTGATCGGTGCCCACCTACTTCTTCTTGCTATTATTTTAAGTGCTGTTGAGTCCGTGTTGACTCATAGGGATCCTATAGAATAAAACACGGCCTGGACATGTGGTAGCCTCACAATCGTCACTACATTTGAGCCCATTATTGTAGCCACTGTGGAAATCAAAATACGCCTTCCTCTTTTTTGCCGACCCTCCACTTTATAAATATGACATCCTTCTCCAGGGACTGGTTGCCCCTGACAACACGTCCAAAGTACGTGAGACAAAGTCTCACCATCCTCATTTCTAAGAATCATTCTGACTGTACTTTTGCCAGAACAGATTTGTTTGTTCTTCTGAAAGTCCATGGTACTTTCAACATTCTTCATCACTACCATAATTTAAAGGCATCAACTCTTTTCTATATTCCTTATTCATTGTTTAGCTTTCACATGAATATGAGGTGATTAAAAACACTATGCCTTGGGTCTAAGTGTCCTTTTTCCATTTTATCACTTTTAAAGTGGTCTTTTGCACCAGATTTGCCCAATGCAATATACCATCTGATTGCTCCTTTAAGTTTATTTTTTATTGTGCCATAGATGAAAGTTTACAGAGCAAATTAGTTTTTCATTAAACAGTTTGTACATAAAGTCTTCCATGGCATAGGTGCATTACCCACAATGTGTCAGCATTCTTCCTATTTCCACCCTAGATTCCCTGTGTCCTTTTGTCTGAATTTCTGCTCTCTCCTATCTTGTCATCTTTGCTTTTGGATAAATGTCCTTTTGATCTTGTATAATTGATTGTTCTAAGGAATACATCCCTCTTTGGTGTTATTGTTTATATTATGGGCTTGTCTATTGTTTGGCTGAAAGCTAATACCACAATTATTTGGGAATTGCTTTACTTCCAGGTCAAGAGGGTGTCTTAGGGTGGTTCCATCAGTCCCTAAAGACCAATAAGTCTGGTCTTTTTTGTGAATTAGATTTTTTTGTTCAAAAATGTTCTCCCATTTTGTCCAAGACTCTGTTGTGATTCTAGTCAGAGTGATCAATAGCTTCCTAGTCCTCTGGTCTTGGGTTGTGTAGGCTGTGGCTTATGTGGCCCATTTTTCCTTTGAGCTAATTGCTCCCTTGAGTCTTTGGTTGTCTTCACTGTCCTTTCCTCCAGACAGGAAGAGACTAATAGTTATATCTTTGCTGTTGTTGCTGTTAAGTGTCATCTAGTTGATTCTGAGTCATAGCGACCTTATGCGCAACAGACTGAAACACTGCACAGTCCTGCACTATCCTTACAATTATTTCTATGTTTGAGCCCATTACTGCTGCCATGTCAGTCCATCTCACTGAGGGTCTTTCTCTTGTTCTCTGACCCTCCATTTTGTCAAGCATGATGTCCTTCTTCAGGGACTGGGTCCTCCTGAGAACGTGTCCAAAATACGAGAGATGAATTGTCACTACCCTTGCTTCCAAGGAACATTCTGACTGTACTTCCAAGACAGATTTGTTTGTTCTGGCAGTCTGTGGTACTGTCAATGTTTTTGTCAACACCATGATTCAAATACTTCAATTCTTCTAAGGTCTACTTTATTCATTTTCCACCTTTCACATACATATGAGGTTATTGAAAATACGGTTTGGGTCAGCACAACTTAGTTTTCAAACTGACATCTTTGCATTTGAGCACTTTAAAAAGGCAGATTTGCCTAATGCAATATATCTTTTGATATCTTGACTGCTGCTTCCATGAGCGTTGATGGTTGATCCAAGCAAAATGAGGTCTTTAACAACTTTAAGCTTTTCTCCATTTATCATGATGTTATTTATTGGTCCAGTTGTGAGGATTTTTGTTTTCTTTACATTAAGGTACAATCCATACTCAAGGCTGTGGTCTTTCATTTTCATCAGTAAGTATTTTAACTCCTCTGCTTTGAGCAAGCGAGGTTGTGTCCTTTGCATGTCACAGGTTGTTAGCAGGTCTTCTTTCAATCCTGATGCAATGTTCTTCTTCATGTAATACTGCTTCTTGGATTATTTGCTCATCATACAGATCCAGTAAGTATGGTTAAAGGATATAACCATGACGCACATCTTTCCCTTATTCTAAACCACTCAGTATCCCCTTGTTCTGTCTGAAACACTGCCTCTTGGTTGATGTACAGATTCTTCATGAGGACAGTGAAGTGTTCTTGAGTACGCATTCTTTGCAATATTATCTATAGTTTTTTAAGATCTATAATCGAATGCCTTTACATAATCAATAAAGCATAAGTAAACATCTTTTGAGTATTTTCTCCTTTCAGCTAAGATCTACTCAATTGTAGCAACAATACTCCTTGTTACACATCCTCATCTGAATCTGCCTTGAATTTCTGGCAGTTCCCTGTCGATGTACTGCTGCAACTGTTTTTTAATTATCTTCAGAAAATAAATTACTTGCATGCGATAATAAGCATATTGTTAGATGATTTCCCCACTCCGTTGGGTAGCCTTTGGAATAGGTACAAACATGGATCTCTTCTAATTGGTTGGCCAGGTAGCTGTCTTCCAATTTCTTGGTATAGTGCCTTCAGTGCTGCAACTGTTCGTTAAAACATTTCAATTTGTATTCCATCAGTTCTTGGAAACTTGGCCTTGCCAATGTCTTCAGTGAACCTTGGTTCTTGATCATAGGACATCTTTTGCAATGGCTGAATGTCAGCCAGTTCTTTTTGGCACAATGACTGTATTTTTCCCATCTTCTTTTGATGTTTACTGCATCAGTTAAGACTTTGCTCATTGAATCCTTCAATATTGCAATCCGAGGTCTGAATTTTTCTTCTGTTCTTTCAACTTGAGAAATGCTGAGCATGTTCTTCCCTTTTGGGTTTTGAACTCCAGGTCTTCGCACATTTCATTATAATACTTTATCTTCTCTAGATGCCCAGTGAAATGCTCTGTTCAGCTCTTTTACTTCATCATTTCTTCCAGTTGCTTTGGCTTCTTGATGCTCAAGAGCAAGTTTCAGAGTCTCTTTTGACATCCATTTTGATCCTTTCTTTTTTTCCTGTCTTTTAATGACCTTTTGCTTTCTTCTTCTCTGACATTCTTTTTTCAAAGTTTTTATTATGAGATTTACATGGGAGAACATCAGCTTTACACTCATCCTATCATATTTCAATTCACTGCAATGATTATAATCCCCTCCATGCATCATCAAATAACCCCAAAAGGTACAACACAGGCCCGCCCCCCAGCTGCCAGCACACAGCCCTTCTCCCTCCCTGAGTCCAGTGTCCCCAGCCACTCTATCGTCTCTGTCTCCATCCCTGGCATCACTGCCTCTCTGGGTAGGGTCCTGTTCTCTGTTCTTCTCACTTGATGATCCCAGGGACCTCCGCTCCTGGGCTGCAAAATCAATCACTCTCCTCCTTTTGTCAAAAAAACATCTACTGCTATATTTCCTAGACTCACAGTCAGTCCTGATGGCAATTATTCACTATTGCACCATGAGAGTCTTATCACCATTTCCTTTTGCCAGCCCGGTCCCAACGGATTATAAGTCGTTCAGTGGTGATTCTACCTTTCCCCACCCCGTCTGGAACTAGCCTCCCTCTTGAAAGCTTGTAAGCCAGTCACTTCTTGCCTTTATAGTTCCCCCCAATTTGGGTAGTCAATGTCTATGTTCCCCATCCCTGTCAACCCAGTGTACTGAGGGGGTGGGAGTGATCATTGCTATAAAGATTTGTTCCCTTTTTAAAGCTACTACATCCATAAATATAGGTAAAGTTCATCAAATTGTAGCAGGCTACTCTTTTTTTTTTCCCCTCTTCTTTCTTCTTTTAGTCAAGTTCTGATCATCCAGCCATTGAAGCCAGGTCAGGTGGGTATTATCTGCAAGTATGGGTGTTCTTGTGCATCTCCCCTCACTTCATATCAGCTGGATGCTTCACTCTCTGCTCTAGTCCTCTGTGGCCATGTCTGATATTCTTGATGTCATCCCACAACTCCTCTAGTCTTTGGTAATTAATGCCTAAAGCATCAAATTTATTCTTGAGATTCTGGTCTCTAAATTCAGGTGATCATGTTTTGTCAAAATAAGCTTTAGGTCATATTGTGACTCTCAGAGGCTTGTTTTAATTTTCTTCAATTTAGCATGAACAATTGCTGATCTGTTCCATAGTCTGTCAGTGGCCTTATTTTGGCAGATGATATCAGTTTGATTCCTGTGTATGCCATCTGGTGAAGTCCAC